CACAGTATGGCAAGCAGGCACATATGGGAGTTAGTACAAATATACAAAAATAATTCCTGTGCAAAAGCCCCAATACATACAATAAAAACCAAACAAAAGACTTATTTGCACACTATCCCAAATCCCTATGCACATTTAAATAACTGGAGGTTTTTTAGTTTAATTCCAATAGACATTTAAGTGTAAGCTCACCTGTGATTTCAAGGAAAATCTCTTAGGTGAGTCCTATATAAACAATTTACCTTGCTTCCTTCAGCTTCAGGCACAAAAGCTCTAATGAGACAGGAAGAGGTATTTTTCTAAACCCCTACATACTTATTAACCCTTAATAGGGAGCACATGGGGTAGGTGGCAGCATTGTAACATGGCTTTGTAATACAGAAACAAATACAAATATACAAAAATAAGTCCTGCACTAAAACTCCCACTTCTCCTGGGCGGCAGCATTGCTCATAGTACACAGCATATGCGAGTTATCAATAATTTTATTCCTCTTCTGTAATTAGGGATAGCATAGGGTTAAAGTTAGGGTGAATATGGTGGTTGTATGCTTATAGGTAGTTTAAGTACAGTGTTAGTGTAGGGCTTTGCGCGAAGATTGCAAACGTGTGTTATCAGTAGATATTATAACATTTTGTTTCAGAGCATGCATATTTATTTATTTGAAACATTCTGTTAAGCCTATAATGTGTGTTAATAATACCTGCTAAAGTAAAGGTTTAAATGTTATGGAAACTGCATGTTATGGTATATATTAAATAACATATTATTCATACATTTCTCGTTTTATACACATGCGATGCACCTTTTGTTTAATGTCACCTTGATGATGAGAGCCTGGCTATATATTCTATTTGATTGAAACAGATTAGTGAGTACTGACAATACCCTCAGAGTTATTCACTATATGATTGAAAAAATATGGTGTGTATATATATATGATATTGTTTTATTGTGTGACAAAGATCTGTGTGTTGAGTTGGCACATTCATTGTATGCTTTGGTTTCATATTTATTTATTTATTAATGTATTTATGTTGGAATTCCTGTTGTGTGTCTCAAGATTCTATAAATAAAGAAATACAGACTGAATCTGTACAATTTGATTCATGTTTCACATTTACTCCATCTATTTGGAAAATGCATAAATTAAATCAATACTTTGTTGGAATCACTGAATGTCCATGCCAATTTCTGTGTATCTGTTGCTCATTTTGGTCATATTCCTGGAGATCCAAATCTGCTTGGAAGGCATGTTGACACGACCATAACGTAGCTTTTCAAACATGTCATATGTCACCCGTCCTGTTCTTAACTGAAATGAAATACTTGATCATCTACAGTTGGGGCCTCCAGGCATCTAACACTGGAGACAATTCCTTCACCAAAATACTGCAGCTTATGGTCTGCATTCGATCAAATCCCTGAAAGCTACTATTTTTCTGAACTTGATCTTCTTGGTTTTGATGCTGTCAATCATCCTTTTCGCTATCACTGTCATAGAATTAGTTCAGCTACTCAGTCACAATGTTATTTCTTTCATCACGCTTTTAGAGTCAGAGGAGAGTGATCAATGCACTGGATTTAAACTGGCCAAACAAATGTTAATGCCCATATGTCCTTGAACTTTCTGCTCTTAAACATTAAAGTGATGCATTGACATATGTCTTCTATGTTTCTATGAGAGCCAATCTCAGAAACCATTTACCTTTGGCTAGATTTCTTCATACCTGATTAAGTTATGGGATATTAAATTACTTATGATCTGTTAGCAGTCTCCAAATGAAAGGTATTGTGTCTCTTTCACATCATTAATGTCTAAATTCACAAAACTAAATTGATGATGCTATTATTTTTTAGAAACCAATACATGTTGCATTATTTAGTTTCATATGTACCCGATAATGTGAATGTATATTATTTCTCCCATACCCCTTAATACCTGTTCTATAAACATATCATCTGTGCTTTCTGGGGTAGATAATTTATCCAATCAACTATTTATCCTATATTTAATAATTCAATGTTATAATCACTATAATGCAATGTTTAAGCAGTACACTAAATAGTTTTTATCATATATATTTTGTATTATGCCATACGGATATCAAATGGTAAGAGATTTGCCTTTAACCCTTTAAGGACACAACTTCAGAGATAAAAAGGAATCATAACTGAATATTTCCATCATGTGTTCTTAAGGGGTTAAATATGATCTGGTTATTGCATGTTTTTGTTATTATAATATAACAGCAATGTAGTTCAATAAGAACATGTTTATTTGATTGTATCTTTCTTCTTTTATCATCCTTGTCAAATTCAGTCATTATGAGAAATGAATGTAAATCCACTCTTTCGATCCTCTGCTTTGATTGTATGTGATTAGCAATAGACAGACATATATAGTATTAGTATTTTTTATTTCAAAATAAAGTGAATGGGTGGATTGATAGTTCAGTTCCAGAGAGTAGCACACCTGCAATTACTTATTCAAATATTTTAATAGTGCAGACTGTAAAACTAGTTACATATTATTGATCAGCTTAGTGCTGAATTATGAGAGCACAGGTATTATGACCACACCATAGATATGCCAAAAGTAGATGTGCAGCTTTTCTGGGTAACAATGGGGGTCAGTAAACAGCTGGTTTTCAAGTAAAATCAAGTTTACAAAAATGGTAAAACAAAATAAAAGTGGTAAAATATATAATAATATTTATGTATAATTTTATTAAAAAAAGCGTATATGATATGTAAGAAGTAGTTTTCTAAAGTTCATATTTTATTGGTTATTCTATTTGATTGCATATGCATTTTATCATATACGGAATGGTTTGATCATATATTTGAGTTGTTACATAGTTACAGTTGCATAGCTGAAAAGAGAAAGGTTATTCTCACATTTGTTGTAGTTTGTGTATTTGCTGTTGATCCAAAGGAAGGCAAGTAACCCAGTTTGAAACACTTACAATTTTGCAACAAACTTGGAGAAAAAAACATTTTTGACCTCAGAATGGCAGTTAGTTATCTCCTTGGTTCAAAAATCTATTACCCCACTAATTAAAAATGATATAGCTGCATATTACGTTTTTGCAAGTATTTATCCAATTTCCAGTTAAAGAGCTGTATAGAATCTGATAAAACCACCTCTTCACTTAGAAAATTCCACATCTCTATTGTCTTTACTGTAAAAAAAAAAACTCCTTTAATTTGCCTTAACCCCTTAAGGACCAAACTTCTGTAATAAAAGGGAATCATGACATGTCACACATGTCATGTGTCCTTAAGGGGTTAAACTAAATCTAATTTCTTGCAGTCTGTGTGAGTACAATATTTCCTTTTAGAAATTATTAAAATATATACTCCATACATATTGCACTATATACCTATGTACATTTTGCCACTGTGGCCAATTTTTTACACATTGTTTTGCGCATTCACTACTAAGACCTTTCCCTCCCTAAAGATACTTAGGCAATAGCTATGTCATGTATTGAGAGCCAAACTAGTAGCTCTATTAAGTGTGAGTGCATTACCTCTATAGTTTGGACAATGTATATACTTTTTTTTTACTGTTTCATGTAATGTTTTTCTTATACTTTATTTACACATTCATACATATCTAACTTATTAGCAAATATAATATTTTTGTGAGTTGCATTACATCTTTATACTATACAATGCAATATATATATATATATATATATATATATATTTCTCTATTTCAAGTATTATGTTTGCAAAGATGCTTGTTTTCCAGGATGACCACTGGACTTTTGAACTGTGATAGGGACTTTTTCAATAACTGTGCAAGAAAATGTTGGGAGAAGATAAACTGTGTTATGTTAAGAAAGAAGAGAATTTAAAAGGAGGATGCAGAGAATGGAGAAAGGCATGAGGTTGAGACAGAAGAGTGTGACTGAGTGTTTTTAGAGGTTTAAATACATATTGCAGGGAGTTGAATGCATTCTTGTGAATTGAGTGTAAGAGCATCTAAGAGGAGAGTGTTTGCCCAGAACAGACCTCAAGGGAAGCCAACCTGATTGAAATATTTAGCAGAGATTGCCTTACAAGCTAGGTGAAGTACCACTAGGTGAACACTACTTTATTAACAAAGCTATTAAAGAGGCACACCATGATTCTCGGATTCATGTATCTGATTGCAAGCTCAATGGACTTAAATATCAAGCAGCCGAAGATTATTTAAAAATTGATATGTCTGCTATCGTCATAGTGGTCGGTTAAAAGACAGCACATCATTTTTATTGCTGTTTTGTTTGACCTATTTTTCTACGCATTTAATATTATAACAATATTTGATATGTTATTATTTGTGATAATAGGGATAAGCTTACTTAGGATATGTTTACTTAGGGTATTTGACCTTTTCTTTTGTTTTCATTATGGATTTATGAACATGACTGATAAGCATGATGGTAGATGGAAAGTAAAATGAAACTAATGTGGCTATGCATTTTAGAAAGTAGAACTTGTGTGCTTATTGTTAAAATAGTGTTGAGTCCTGATAGACTATATCACAAAAAATGTAGGGGATGATATAGATACCTTGTAAGAAATACAGGTTGAATTATGATACCACAGAGGTGATAAAGAGCTGAGGATTAGTTAGGCATGGGTAAGTGGTTTAGCACATTGGGAGAAGAGATAGCTTTACATGTGGTATATGTGATACTATTTATTATTTTTATAATTTTACTTGTTTCAAGGCTGAATCAATGAGAAATGCAGCTCAGAGATCCCTCTCATGCCCTTACAAGATTATATGTATATATATATATATATATATATATATATATATATATATATATGGGCATGAGAGTAAAATTTATTTTTAGAGAAGGTAGCCTCAAAATGAAAGATTGTAGATAATTATTTTTTTCATATGAGAAGATAATGTGCTGTACAGGCATGGTCTCATATTATTTATTTATTTAATAAATGAATGTTTACAAATTTTGAGCTGCTTTTTTGGGCACCAGGATTTGGTTACACTTTGTGTGGTATGGTAACTATATATATATATATATATATATACACAGAGCTACCATACCACACAAAGTGTAACCATATCTTGGTGCCCACAGAAACAGCTCAAAATTTGTAAAATACTATTTACAAAGATTAAACATTAATAGCTGCATTGAAGGCTTTCTCTCATGGCTTTAATACAATGCAGATGCCAATGAGATCCCTCCCATTAGTAATACAAATCTAATCAGGATACTGCTTATCAATACAAATGGGGAAAGGAGAGTCTACTACTAAAGAAAGGGATAGAAAAGATATTTAAGATGCAGTGGACTTGAGCTTCCATTAATAATATCCATTGAATACATTGGATTAAGAAGATGAGAGTTCCATTTTTATTGTTTGACAATTATACTTTAGTCTTTTTATATGTGGCATAATAATTATTCACCTTCTCTGATAACACATAAAGGACAGAAAATCCCAAATTAAAATATTAATATCCTGTAAGCAGGCAAATATTATACATGTGGGCTGTGTGCAATGTGGATGTAATGCCAAAACGGAAACACTCAAAAAAGCAGCATAGATTAAGGTTAAGCAATGCCAATGCCGTGTTTTAAAGTTTTTTTGGTTCACTTCCATACATGAATATTGATTCAGTACTTTCATTTAGATGTCTTTGCAATTTCAGCAGATGCAAAAATTCTTTAGCTATAAAATTCATAAAAGGTAGAAGAGTAAAATGTATTTTTAGAGTAGGTAGCCTCAAAATTAAAGTTTGTGGATATTTTTTTTCATATGAGAAAACTATATACAGGCATAGTCTCATATTATTTATTTATTTAACAAACTAATGTTAAAAGTGAACATTAACTATCAACTATTATACATGCATACACTTATAAATGCCTGTGTTGTGTGTGTTGGGTTTGCACACTTCTTATTGTGGTTGTACTGTACATGTGAGACTACTTGTCTTTAATGGTAGTTAGGTATGAAGTGTTGTATGTGTGTGATGAGCATTGTGTGATTGGATGTGTATTCCTCCCAGGATTAGGAGGTATGAAATTAAGATATGGATGGATCATGAGGCTAGGACCAGATTGGCGGTATATCATTGATGTCTCATGGCAGAAATAGAATACCAAAGTTAAAAACCTAGGACACCGGGACAAAAGTACATAGCAGAACTTCCCCCTCAGATTCTGGATAGTTGTTAGCTATGCATGTGAGTGGAGATGTGTGCATGAAGAGAAGAGGTGCATGTTTTCCCTACCAGACACTACAGTTTTTACCTGATGCCCCTGGAGAAAAGCCACAGTTGTTTGATAAAACATTAGGTTAGTACATAACTTTCCATTGTCATAGATTTATTAACAATCAGTTTGGGCTGAATTAATTTGTACGAAATAAAATTTTTTAGTTTGGATAGTCCGAAATTTGTCCTTGTGGCAGTTCAGCTCAGGTGATTTTCGTCCATGCAACTTATTTGGAAAAATGATTTAGACAAACAAAAAGGACAAGAAAATATGTTAATCAGTATACTGAAAAATGTTGGACTTGCGCACAAATCCTTTTCACCTGTGATGACTACATCAAATTCTGACTGCATCGATAATCTACACCTGAACTAATTGATCTATTCACATAAAAATAAAAAGGAGGAATGGCAAAAAAAAATAAATCTATATTTAAATGTATAATATTTGTAAAAAAGATTTACTGCACTTTATTTTTCCCCTCTACTGGTCAATTCTCACATGATCTATGAATAAAATCTACATTTACTAGCTATCACCTAACCATCAATCATCGTTTTTCCTATCAATCTATTTTTATCACCGCCGGCTGAACTCTGAATCACAAATCAAATGATGCTTGTCCAATGTACAGTTTGTTTGTTCATGACATGTTTATTTTGAACTTCAGAATTATGGAATTTGGACATTCTAGTGATTAGTGATACTAGCAAGTGCTTGTATTTGTATGTAATTGGTAAATAATGCCTATGAGACCAAAGGTCAAGAGGTTTATAAATGTCTCCTGGACCTAAAATTGCACTGGTTAGATTAGTGTGTTAGGTTTGGTATTAGGGTTTAGAGCAAAAATTAAGGTTAGTCTTAGTGAGTGTAAGAGTTATGGCTAGTGCTATGTCTTCTGTAAATATTAGCATAGTGTAGAGGTTCAAGGAGGCATAGAATTAGTGACAGTTACTCTCATAGAAGGCAGTTATGTCAGCTACCTCTATTTTTTCAGCTTGGAGGAGAGAGAAATGTAAATGATTGCAGCTGACATTTGAGAGTGAAGCTCCGACTAATCTTGAGCAAATCATATGTGTTGTAGCAGAGCATGTGCGCCCAAGACTAGGTGGGAAATTGCATAGATGATGCCACCTTCCAAGAGTTTCAAAAACACAATCAGACATTTTAAATACAGGGCAGATCATTCAATATATAGTACTGTTTTCTTCTAGAATTGCATGTATTGAATGGGTTAACATATAATAAACAACTTGTCATGATTCATCTAAAAATTATGTCAAGATTATTAAATATCCGTCTGCATCCATTATTTTATTTTCACTTTAGGCAGACAAAAAGCAATATGTTTTTGTTAGCTTAACTGGAAAATGTGTGAAACACAAATGAGATGAAAGTACTTGCTCATGTAGCTATGTGTAGGAATCTAATTGGTGTCATAAATTGTGGCGTGCAAGGTGTTAGACATATGAGATCAATTTTGTTCAGTTGGAAATGCTCAATTCCTCCTTTTATATTGACATGCATGTTACTCATCAAGTACTCATGTTGTAGAAATACAAAAATGTAGAGGTGGAAATCTGAATGCTAAGTATAACATGATGGATAATATATAGCAGCTGGAGTGCCAGAAATGTCTTTAAAAAAAAAATGTCAGTTAATGTCTGATACCTTTGATCAGTGGTTCTTAGACTTTTTTTAAAAAAAGGACTTAAATTTCATATATTATATTTATGTAAAACAAGCACAATGTCTCATTCTAAAATGTATTGTGATATATATGAAAATAAAGTGTGCAAAAGACCCAGATTAGACTTTTTGTCCAGTGTCAAAGGGTTCTCCGAAACACTGGGAAACAAATTGTCATTACAATTAGCACTTTATTGTGATGCCTAATGAATGTGATTTTCCTCTAAAAACTGGTAAAGCACAAATAAATGATTTGAAGAAATGTGTGCTCTCAACCCAGACATTAAGAAACTTCCATAGATTAAAGGGAAGCTCTCAGTACCATAACAACTTCATACATGATGATGCAAAGACCCTGTCCATGCAATATTTCTTTTCATTCTATAAATAATAAAACATTTTATTATGTAGGGCTACTTCCCTGAGTTGTCAATCAGCCAATGGGAATACTGTCCTCCTAACTCTCCCTCTCCCTCTCTACATACCTCAAAACAGAATACACGTGTCATGGTTGATTATATATTTCCTACCTGTTCTATGTTAAATTTTGTATAAATTGTGTATTAATATTGTTTTTGTATTTTATTGTACCCTAATGTATCAATGCAATGTTTTGTGGACCCAGGACATACTTGAAAATGAGAGAAATCTCAATGTATCTTTCCTGGTAAAATATTTTATAAATAAATAAATAACTGGCAATATCAGTTTTGTGCAACTTTTGTGGTTTGTATCAGCACACAGCATGAAACAGCATGCTAACATGAAACACCTTGGACTGACTGCCTATAACTGAGTGTGTTACACAAACTGTGTTAAAGTTCCTGTTGCTTGGCTCTCAGGCAATATCTCTCTCTAAGTCCCTGATAAAGAGAAAACATGAATTGGTCCTGAATTTTTACTTCTGTTCTTCCTAGGAAAAAAAGTCAGAGGAAACAAACACACAACCTCCTCTGTTATGAATTTATATCCCACTAACTTGAATGTGACAAGATGTCGGTTTCTGCTGGTGTAGAACTCTTATCTTGCTCAGTGAGATTCTACATCTGTTGTGAAGGGAACCTGCCACCACTGACCAGAGCTTCCACTCTCCTGCCATGGTCTCATTACAGAGTTGGATGTTACACCTTTTCCCTCAATATTCCTGCACTCTTCCCTGATTTGCCATCCTTTGGGATACTTCCCTGAGCAGGGTAAACTTCCTCCATGATACTGACATGCTATAAATCTAAGCTGTAAATCTTTCAATGTAGTATGATAAAAAGAAAAAGTTTCTTACTAGATTGCGATGTATAGACAGTTTTTAAAATCCTTGATGAGAAAGTCACTGTGAAATATGCGATACAGGCAGCACATAACATATTGGTACATACAGGTATTCCTAAAAGTTATACATATGAACATTTACAAAATTTAAGTTTTTCCTTTATTTGACATGATTTTACATCATATTTTTATACACTATATTGTATACCTTAGATAGGATTTTTTCCAGCAGGTCTAACATATTAGGATAGAAAAGCAATATTATTTTATGTTACATATTATTATTACTTCTATTTATATAGCACCAGCATATTCCGTAACACTTTACAATATTATAAAAGGGGGATTTATTTAACAATAAATGAGACAATTACAAAAACAATATGTTGAAGAGGGCCCTGCTCAAACAAGATAGAGATTTGACAAATCCAGATAAAAATAGTACTCCGTTTACGTAGGTAATGGACATGATGACATTTTGGGAAGTGAAAGTTCTGTAAAAATAAAATTAATGTCTGTATGCTGGCACATTGCTTACACATAGTAGATATATGTACAATACAGATCTATACTGATTAGCCACCACATTAAAACCACTGACAGGTGAAGTGAATAAGATTGATTATATTGTTACAATGGCACCAGTCATGGGGTGGGATATATTAGGAAGTAATTCTTGAACTTATGGAAGCAAAAAATAAAATGGGCAAAGGAAAATATCTGAATGACTTTGACAAGAGCCAAATAGTGCTGGTTAGATAATTTGGTCAGAGCATCTTTAAAACGGCAAGTCTTGTGGAGTGTTCCGGGTATGCAGAGGTTAGTAACTACCAAAAATGGTGCAAGAAAGGTGAACTGCCATCAGAGTCATGGGCACCAAGGCTCATTGATG